GCCACAGAACTACATGGCAAACCACGAAGGGAGGAAACCTCCCTGCAATTCACCACTTCCAAACAATCAGTACCATCAAAACCCTCTTTATCCTTGCTTTACAATGGGACCTTCTCCACCCACATCCCCTGTGACTTGTGAGTAACGTTTCCTCTGAGGGATGAGGAGGATGTAAGGGAGTTTAATGAGTTTAGCTGCAGCACTCACAGTGCTTTAATCCTCAGAATACAGAAGTTTAAAAATACAGCGTTACATAAGGGCTGTCCCATAAAAAGGGCTGTGCTGCCAACGTGAGCATCCGCGGCTGGTGGGTCTGCGCTGACAGAAACTCTGGCTCTTCCCACACACACTGAGGGCCTCCAACAGTACTATTTTATTTCCTTAATTTACCCATCAGCATTATTCTCCAAAGGAGTGGTGCTGCAGTTAGGCATCGCTCTTGTTAGAAAAGACCTTCAGCACGGGCAGCTGGGCACCCTGAAGGACTTGGAAAGCATCAGGAACCCTTCGGCAGCTCACCACGACCTCTACCAGCACCACCGGGCTGCAGCATCTACATACAGCCTCAGCTTTCCCCATCCACAGGGCTCTCCCTGGCCACCACCAGCGACCTAGAGCCAGGGATGGCACCGCCTACTTCCCTGGGGGAGATGGGAGGAAGCTGGGAAGAGTTTGCATCTTCTGCACCCTGCCACTGTTACTCTAACGTCAACCCAGTGCATGCATGCTCTACCAGAAATAAAAACCCATCGGTATATAGTGTAAGAACTAGACAAGTCATTCCCCTTCTTGGAATTGCATGTGGAAAACGACACTGAAGTGAGTTGACCAGGGACAAGAAGTAATTCAGTGGAAGAGCCGGGGTCAGCAGTTCTGCCCGGACCACCTGGCCACGCTCCCTCTGACTTACTGAAAAGTGTTTCACTGAATTCATCAGCAGGAGGAGCATTAGCTGGAAATGTATGCACCAGACAGGGCCAAAAAAGGGTTAAATAGGTGCTACTGAATGCTGAATGAAACTGTGAAGTGTCTATTTTTGGAACCGGAATTTCTAACTCAACAGTATTCCTGCATCTCTCTGCAATTCCCAGTTTCAGTCAGGCCGTGTAGTTGAAACGCTGCAGCAAACCAAGAAAGGCTGCTTTCTCACATTATTTCTGACCAGCTGCAGTCACAGAGAACCTGAGATCTCAGAAGAAAACCTGCGCTTTAGAGGTTTCAAGCCAAAACTTTCAAAAAGCATCTAAACTTTCAGATACTTATCAGCGTGAATCCCTAAGGCACTGTGAGATTTGCTTTTCGCTGGCATGTACGGTCTCAAAGCTGGACTGAGTATTAAAAGTTGACAGCAGATTTATATGTCTAGAATACCTCTATACATCATTAAACAAACATTAATCATTCAAATTCAAGCTCTGTATGCGTTATTTGCTTACTAGGGAGTAAACTGGCACAGAATAAAACCAGAAGCAATGTACTTAGAGTATATTCAATAGTATGAATTCAGTCCATAAATTTGACTGAATGGTTCAGTACACCGAATGCCAAGACATTTAGGTTATGGATAGTTTATGTTAAGTAACCAAATAAGGTGCTTTCAAAACTGAAACAGTGTATTCCAGTTTCGCTGCAAATGTACCAACATTTCTGATTCTGGGATACAACAGTCAGCCTCAGGGACTTGTCACAGTCCCACCTGAATTCAGATTAAAACAAAGAGCTTTTTAGGGCTGTATTTGCACAATAGCAGTTATTGTTAAAGCAGTGGATGCGCAGAGATGCTGCCTGTGAAGCCTTATTCTTGTTGCATATACTGCTGGTCGTACAGTTAATAAAAGAAATCAGATTTATTTCCACAATCATTGTTAAGATTACAAATCTCCTCTAAATGCGTTGAATACATATTTGGGAAGTTTTTTAACACTTGATTTTCCCGTGGTCAAAGCCTCTGGGAGCATGAAGCTAGGAAACCAAAACCCTCCCAATATTTGAGGTGTAAAGCCCTTGGGGGTGGGTCTGAAGAGCCACCTCCCCAGGAAAGCCCGGTGCTGCCACCTCGTGGGAATGCCACCCACATCCACGGCTGCCCACCCGCGTTCCGCACGGATTTACGGCCCCCACTTACCACTCCTGTTTTCACAATTCTGGTCCCCTCGAAAATTCGAGTAGTGTTAGCTGGGAAACAAAGAACACCAGCGCGTCAGCGGGTGGGAAGGGGGGCATCGGTAAAACTGCTGAACAGTGCTGCTACCGAACGCGCCCGCGGGTCTCAGGCGGGAGAAAAAGCTACCCGGCCCGTTTGGTGGTACTCACCTCACTCAGTACTGGTGTCTACCAGTCACTTGTCTTTAATTACACAGGCCTGGCATTGCCGGTCTAAGTGCACTGTCAGAAAACACGTGCTCTCCTTCAAACCCAAGGAGGATGAAATGTCCTGACTTACCAGGAAGCAAGAGCAGGTTGATGATAATAGTTTTTCCTGTCCTTGTGATAATATCATCATTATTTACTGCTATTTATTGTTATTTATCTCATCTACAGTCCTCTGAAGAATGTTTTGAAAACTCAGGTGGATTTTTCAATCTAGGTTAGATCTTGGGTACAGCCAAGGATGAGAAGAACGTCTCCTTTTTGGGGAGCCATGGGAAGAAATGCCACATCCACTCCCATTGCAGATGCCTGTATCACTGCCACTGCTTTGAACACTGGGCTGAATACCCAAAGAGTAGCTGGAAAAACTGACAATAATGAGCTACTCTTAATTGTAATTAAATAGGTATCACGGTCAAATTTCAAATAATTTTTCCATTATCTGCCAGAGGCCATGACGTTTCTGACTTCTGTCTGACACTTAAAGTCCAAAACACTGTGCCGAGATACTGTGAAACCAAGAGCTACATAGGAGACACTCAGCTTGGACAGGACATTTGTTTTCCAACCCCTGCTCTGCCTGCAACGCTGCTAACACTGTGCCATGGAACTGGACCAGAACAGAATTGTGTCTGCAGCTTGACTTCCATCAGATGCTAAGTACTAAAGAGTAGGACTAAACTCCCATGTTTTCCAAAAATCACATTTAAAAATGCCTCTCATTTTGTTCCACACACGGCATCAGACCCAAGTGACTTAACTCTTTGCTTTGCCTTAATGATTTAAATTGTTAACTCTCTGCTTGTTTTGGTTTTCTATTACCCATTCCGAGGTTTAGATATATCTGTAAACTGGAGTGGGAGGCAGTGTTCTCAGCAGGGTTGGATTTTGCCCTACTTAATAGTAGTAATAAATTCCTAGGAAAGAGCACAACTTCAGCACTTAAAAAACTCAAAAAGCATCAAGTTCCTCTAGTAAATCTCAGTTTTACCACATTTCGCCAATAAACTTCAAAGGAAATCCATAACAAAAAACAGCTTAGCATCCAGGTCTTTAGCTTGCATTTAAATATGTATGTTTGGAAATCACTAAGGTGGTGTGCATGGTAAAACCAGAACGTCTCCACATGTGGTTGTCAAGGTAGGACGGATCTCCTTTCCTCTTTACATAAACCAGACACCCATCAGACTCGCATTCTGCTGTGGCGGTGCCTCTGATGCATAAGTAGTCTCTGATGAATTTGTTTTAGAAAACTAGCACCAAGGAAAGCTCTGAATTCTCCTAAAACCTGCCAGCAGAGAGGTGTAGGCCAACCCCCATCACTAGGAATAGGACTCTGATAAAGTTTCTGGCCACAATCTGAAATTAGCACTGTCTACATGCATTCAAACATCTTCTGCAATCATCCCACACCATATTGTGCCCTGCAAAGAAAATGTTAAACACATAGTCATAATGTAAAAATATGCATGTGGATTTTTTTACCTTGAAAGAGCATAGTCTGGCTAAAGTCACTACGCATTTCATTTCGGCAAACTGCTTGAACTCTGAACAGATAAAGGATGTCAGGTGAGACATGGCTAATGATGGCCTTCTGTTTAAAAAAAATAGATATTATTCAGTTTTTTACCCCCACAGTACTGTCCACGATCAGCTTGAAATATATAAAGCATTGTGCTAACACAGGACATGTAAGACAAACTTATTTCTAAACAGAAATATCCACTGGGCCCCTGGGAGAGGGCAAGGCCAACTTCAAGGGACTTCCCTGGGATAAAAGTGATGCACCCAGACTCTGCTGACTGCCATGACACAGGAATGAACACATCCCACGCCTACTCTCGTGACAGTCTTCATGCCTGAAAGTCTCTGCTCTCCTCAGAAAAACCTAAACCCCAAATCATGTGACCTTACAGGAATTAAAATGAGAGGTTTACAGGTGGAGATCCAAGTCCCAAACTTGGGATTAGCCCAGAAAAGTCACGGTATGTTCAAACTGGCTTTCTATTTTGCAACAAGCTCGCTATGGCAGTTTGATGCCCGTGGCCCCTATAATACGATGGCTCGGCACCCTGGGTGGGATGTCCCTGTGTGCCTTTATACCCGAGACCCTGCCTTGCTGCCTCCCAGCTCCTCTTCCGCCTTGCCTTAGCCCGTGACCACACCAGCCTGTGTGCCACAGACAGCAGAAGTAGCTGTGGGGGTGACTTGAAATACCAGGGGTCTCTTTAGCCAAACACTGTCTAGCTCTGTTTGAAGACAGGACAGCCCAGCTGTCTCTGCCAGAGCACTGAAAGCAAATTACACTTTCCTCTGAAAAAGAGTTTCCTCCTTCTTTTCCCCCTAAAATAGACTACGCTGTCATTGCTTTCTAAACCTCCAAGCTCTGCTGCACAGCACAGCGTCTCATTGCAATTTATTTCCAAGCTATCACTCCATCACATCCCCTGCCCTTTTAATTATTTCTTTTACATAAAACAGGATGCTGTTGCTGTGCCCACCTCATTTTTGCTGATTAAGGCTCTCCTCCTTATGCCTGATTAAAAAAATCTCCCTTAAGAGTGTGAAGTTATGACAAGAGAGAGGTTACAATACATCATAACCTTGGGTGCCTTTCAATAGATTCCTTTCTGATTTTGTGAGGCACATCATTCCCTAATATGACCCAGATAACAATGTCTAGTGGGGAAATTGAAAGTATAAATGGAAATGAAGTAAAAGAATCTTCATCTAAGGGAATAAGAGAAGTATTATTGTATAACTGATTGAATGGGCCCAGAGGACTGTGTATTTGAAAAAAAATACGGTAACAGTCATTAGGAATAACACTCTGTGCTGCTGCATTTTTCATGTGCATATACAATTACTGATTTCATTATTCTAGAGGCTTTCTTTGATTAACAATAAATGGAGCCCTTTCAAACCTGAATATGTCACTTTGATTTTATATGCAGAGAATGTTAAAGACCAGCACAATACTCGCTTCCACTTAGACAAGAGCGACAAGCAGATCAAACCCTAAGTGGACGAGATAGATGGGTGTTTCCATCTGTGCTGGACCTGTCTCGCTCTTCCCTCGTTTTCTTCCACTGCCAGACGCAGGCAGTGCTTGTGCAGGGCCGCTCTGCAACGCTCTGCTAGCCCTGCCCATGACACTCCTACTGCTGGGCAGCACCTGCCGACCAGAAACCGCTCCAAAGTCTGCGAGGGGCTACGCACAGCAAAAGCCTGAGCCCAGGAACAGATTTTGGGGGATCAGGCTTTTAATGTGAAAATCTTTGAGCTGAACACAAGCCAGAAAGTATTCAGAGCCTAACTGTTTCCCAAGCCAGCTGCTTCTCGGCAACAGTACATGAAAAAGTGTCTGCAGATTTAGTCCTTTATGCACTCCCATAAACTATAAATTCACACTCCAGTGTTCTGGGTAGTCTGTTAGGCAACGTTCAACTAATGCTGAACAGTCTAATAGCAATTCATTACGAGCCAAACGCTAGCCTGTCCGTAAGGTAAAAATCTACTTTCCTCCTCTACCTCCTTCTACTGAGAAAATAACAATATAAGGATAGCTTGGTACATATGGCTGGGTTGATGCTGTGGTTTTACCAGGTCCTTGTCACTGTCCTTGGTGAAAGTCTTTTCCTTTTCATCCTCATTTTTAGTCCAGCTATATGAGATCATGTAGTTCATGATCGGAGGGTGGTAGATGGTTTCTGGTTGATTCCAGGTTACGAGTAATGCTGTCCTGTTCACAGGCTGCACTTTCATGTTGACCGGGGGAGTGCTGCAAGCTAAAAAAAAAATAAACAGAAGGAAAAAATATGAAGCTCTCCTAAATAACCGAGAGAAAACAAACAGGAAACTGTGCCTCACTTTAAGAGCCAGGTTTTTGCTTTAATACCCTTGCCTACAGTAATAGCTTAGACTGCAATCCACCGAGACCAATGGGATTTAATACCACCTGCAGCTGCTTTCTGCTCTCCAGAGTAAAGGGAGCGAGAGAATCCATCCTCTGCAGGCAGGTTGCTTAGTTCTCAACTTAGTTTCACTCCTGGCTTTTGCACGTACGCTTGAATGTGGGCACTTCAGAGCTCCGCACTGGAACATGCAGAGCCTCAGCTTCCCTGGCTTGCAGTCTCCTGCCATAGGAAGGGGAGAAACACTCCGGTGTGCTCTGCAAACCCTGCAAATAGGTGGAACCTCTGAAAATGTGACACTATTGGGTCAGCAAGTATTTATTTTCCTCTTAACCTAGTATATCTTTGCACATGAGCAGACTCCTCTCTCTATTTTCCTTCATAGATTCTCAGCTGATTGTCAGTCAGATCACCAGCACAGGGAAAAGTGGCACTTGGTGGACCTTGGCCACCTCTTCCTCCTCCTAACAGGCAGGAGAACCCTCCAGCCAGTCTCTGAAAGCCATTCCTTCTTACCCTTGCCTGCAGCGGGGAGGCACAAGTCACTTCTCGCTCAAGCTAAAGTCAGCAGGGACGTCAGCATAGGCACAGCTTAACCAGTGAGCAAAACCACGGCTTCTGCTTGCTGCAGGCACCAAACCCCAAATTTCTCCAGGGAAGAGCAATCCCGGGGGCAAACCCAGCCTATACACTTCAGGAGGAGTGGGCTGCTTAAGAAAAACGTTTTTCAAGCCCTGGGAATGTCAAGGTCCAGGCACTAATGAAGAACACTAGATGGCACTCACATGCTATTGAAAAGGGACATCATTCGCTTCCCAACTCCAAAGAGTTTTGGTTTTTTCCCAGCTTTAAAAATCGTGTTTAAAATACACAATTCAGGACAGATTCTCACATTCTCTTTCCCAATATAAACTCTGAACCAAGAAAAAATCACTTGCAACGGTACCTAAACGCATGTGCTGTGGCTGGTCTTCTGCCAGGGAAAGTCGGAGTGTCATCCAGCCCATCCTGCTGACACTGTCTGCAGAATTATTTTTCCCAGTACGACTTTTCCATTTAAAGCCAACACATTCAGCTTGTTGCACTCAGCAGGTATGTGACTGCTTGTATACTTGCCCGTTATTTCACTTCTAAAGAGTCCTGGCAGCACTGAAGGGGAGAAAAGTCTATTCCTACGCCTGGACTTGCAGGTAGCTCTGCTGTTCCATTACTGAAATAGCTAGCGTTCCTAAATAAAATGATTAAATGCTGTAAACACCAATATCACCAGTACAATAGAAAAATACCTCTCAGATGCATGTGCGGAGTTATAACTCACATTTTGTAGCTAGCCCAAACAAGAGAATGTATCTTGCAGAAACATGCTTGGGCAGGAAAGATCTTTCTTTGGGGTTTGCTCCTGCCAGGAGTGGTGACAACCTTGCAGCTTTGCAGTAGATCCTCCTACTCAACCCAGGAGGATGATCCAGCCGAGCAAACAAACCCTGCAGTACTGCAAGTTGTTGACAAAACTAATACGAATTTCTATTTACACTGGGTTGAAGAGATCAAACCAGCATTCTGCTGGCGGTGCCACAAAGCCAGAAGCCACGCCGGGATCTGGAGACCCCTTCCCTCCTGGGCTCTGCAGGGAGCGCGCAGAGGCAGGGTGCTGCAGAGCACGGGGTGAAGGCGGCCAGGACCTGGCTGAGAGGGCACAGCCAAAGTAGCCGCTGTTGTCATTATTTACAGAGCTTCCCGATCCTTGGTATGCCTCTCCATGCTCACCTCTTCCCACTGAGAGAGTCGGATCAATTCTCACTGACATCACTGTTTATTGATAACTGCACCAATAAATCATAACTGCCCCCTTTGAAGCCCTTTGTCATCACAGAATTACGCTTCAAAATGCTAGGCCAGCCTTTATCGCTCCACCTAATCAGATCCTATCAGAGATGGGGGCCCAGGGTGAAGGACTACCCCGACCTAGAAGTTGTCCTCACCAGGAGGACATGCAGAGATTTATGTAGTTAGAGTAATCATGCATCAAATTGTTTTAGAAAGAATTCAAACAGGTAACCTTCACGAGAGACAGAGGGACCTACCTGAACTGCAGTACCCTTCAAGCATGGCAAGCCAGCTGTTTCCCAGACAAGGACCACAAGCCCCCACAGGGAGCTGTCACCCCTCTACTCTGCTCCCCTCTTTCCAGCTGGCATTGAAGCTACTCGGAGTAGCTCATGCCAGTCAGGGGGATTATATCCCAAGGATAAACAGGAGACTCACAGGCTTAAAGTTAGGAGATCCTCCCTGACCCTGCACCTTGATCCAAGAAAGGGCACAGGTTGCCCAGAGAAGCTGTGGATGCCCCATCCCTGGGAGTGTCCAAGGCCAGGCTGGATGAGGCTTGGAGCAACCTGGTCTATGGAAGATGTCCCTGCCCATGGCAGGGGGTGGGACTGGGTGGGCTTTAAGGCCCCTTCCCCCCCAAACCATTCTGTGATTCTAAGGTCATGAGCGCTTATAAGCAGCTGAGTGACTCCAATGACTTCGCTGAGACACGTTTTGATGAGCACAAACCTCAACCACAGCCAGCCAAAAAGAGACTGAATTTACAATACTGCTTTTTCATAGTAAATACTACAAAATTATCATGACTTAGTATGACTTTGTTCCAATTACGCCAAGGCACATAGCACTACCTGATCTAATTAAGTAATAACCAACCTTTTCTTTTCAGACACTTTTTTTTTAACAGCTTATGAATGGGCAAAAAAGAAATCTTTTGTAAAATGAAACATATAGTTTTATTAATTTAACCAAACCTGCTCAGGACACAATGGAATAAAAAAAATAATTTGATCCAATAATTCAATTTGATGATTTAATTAAAGTGATACATAATAACTTAGCGAATGTCTGAAACGCAAGGAAAAAAGTGTAATGATTTGACCATCTATAAAACAGCTGGCATTTTCCAGAGTTCTAATTTTCCTTTCAATACTCTGTGTGCCTTGGATTTTTAAAAGAAGATTAAAAGAATCACAGGCTCTTTGCTTGCCTTTTTTTTTAGATGCTAAAGAGCCTCTACTGATTTTGCAAAATGTGCAGCTGAAAGACAAGTAGAAACGTGGAAAGAGGTTGGGACAGGGAGGGAGGAGTTTGCACCTTCCTGAAGTGAGTCAGGACACACTAAAGAGAAACACAAGCTTTTTTTTTTTTTTTTTTTTTTAAACCAGGCTAAATTAGCAAGAGAAGCCTGTGAATTCTTGATTGCTTGAGGAAAAAAAAAGGACCGCAACCAACATCCAAGCATCATTTCTCACTGAAATAGTCTCTCAGATGTTTTTAGATGAAGTACTACTAATGCTGTCTTTTAAATTCGGATCCTAAGGGCTAATAAGGATGATGGAGGAGGGTTTCAGGATGTCCCTCTGCGGTGCAGGGCAGTAGTGAGCCGTTACCTGGCCCTCCGTTGGTCTAGCAGGACACCAAAGCCGCTGTGTCCTGGGTAGCCGACCGGCCATGCCAGGAGTCCCGGAGGCAGAAAAGCCTCGCGTGGGCACGGGGCTACGTCGCGGGGGCACCCAACAGGCGAGCACGTCTGCAGCACCATGGGCTTGTGTGCTGGTCCGAGCTCACCTCTCAGAGCAAACCTCCCTCTCCCTCCTGCTGGGAATGACCTGAACTGGGAAGTTGGCAAACCAGCTGGCTCCTGCATCCTGGAGTCCAGCTGAAGAGGGTGGGCTGCGTGGGCGCAGCTGGAGGAAGCCCCCTGACCCGACACAGGGCAGCCTCGGCTGGCGATTCCAGATGTTGGCCATGTGCGGGGCTGCGGGGAGCCCTTCTCCGCAGAGCAGCCTGCCGGGGAAGGCAGACAACCAAGGCACCTTGGCTAGGTTGTCTTCCAGGGCTCACTGAAGCCTGGAGAAAACCTGTTTGCCACTCGCAGACAAACACAGCATGCTAATACCCTCCTAAGTGCTGGCCAGGCCAGCCACACAGCAGAGAATTATTTTCTTCGTGTTAAAAACATTCCAATGGGCTGGAACAAACAAAATTAATTTAACAACTCTGCATTCATCTCTCCCATAATTTGATTTGTATGTTGTATTTGGCTACGTAACCTCCACGAGGCTTTCCTAACTGAAGCCTGATAAAGCTTAATCCAAAAGCTCCTGGCAGCTCCATTTCAGAGAGCTGAAAGACAAAAAGGGGGCTTATTGTTTTGCAAGAATTAACCACTGATATTAAGACACACCCGTGAACGCAGCAGGGGCATGTAAGAGAATATTACAGTTTTTTTAAAGCAGCCTACATTTCCCCTTCACAGACAGAAACGCAAACCCAGCCAAACTCCCTGGGTTTCATCACGCTTTGTGCATCTGCTACCTGCGGTTATAAAAAAAGCTATTTAGGGAAAGTTTGAGAGAGTGCAAGAACTGTATATTCAGTTATTGCTTGTATACCTTCTCCCTGTAAAACAGGTGCCTCACATGATGAATCCAGTGGCACTGGGCTCAGAGGGATTTATAAAAATCTGCTAAAAATGTTCTAAGATAGCTCTTCCATGCATAAAAATGTCACCACTTTAAAGGCAGTTATTTCTAGCTGTGCTATGTCCTCTTTTGGAAAATCCCACTCTCTCCCTCCTGCTGCACGTCTCAGCCATGCAAAACTGCTGTTCCCTTCCTGGGTACTGAGGGATGCACGTCGGGTGATGAAGCCCTGGCAATTTTCAGCACAGAAAAGCAACGTGGCAGTGAAGTCCTGAATCCCTCGTGGCAAGATGGGCAGGGATCTTCTAAGGCAATTCATATGTGGAGGAAGGAAACAGGGCATCAGGATGTGACCACAGTACGTTACTGGCTCAGGACTGCTCAGGGGTGGCTAAA